GGGGGGCATTCAAGACCTATGCTCTTCCTGCCCGGTGCTCTCCTGAGGTTCCCTCGCGGCGGTCACTGTGCCACTGGCGAGGGGCGGGGAGCTAAAAGAAGGGGAGCCTTGGGCATGGGTTGGAGACAGGCAGCACTTGGAACCAAGCTCTTACTCTCCACCCTATTACTGCAACAAACTGTCTCAGTTTGGATCTGGGGGAAATCTTTATTACTCTCCATTCTGGAAGACTACCTCCCTGGATATAGACTCACTTCACGTCCACAGCACATGCCGTGAAGTAGGATGGTGTGTGAATGCCACCGTGCAAACACATCAGAGTTTGGTCCGGCTTTTTCTTTAACATCTCAAGCAAGCTTCGTGCCTCGGCAGTGATTCTCAGTGTGCTGAGAGGGATTCCCTTTTCTGTCGTCGTTAGCAGTTTCACCCTCTCTCATATATGGCCCACCCGCATTTTCCTTGGCCTTGTAGCTTCCAGGGGTGCTAATCCTTTACAGCTTGGAGAATTTCGGCTTCGCTCTCAGAGGATCATCAAGATTGCTGGGTGTGGCCTGCCTAAATTGAGAGCAATCACACGCACTGGCTTTCCGCCTTCCTGTTGTTTAATAACCTTTTGTTTCGCTTCCAAATCGATCCTTCTCCTTTGCCTCTCGCTGTTTCTATCGCTAGCACTGGTTCTGCTGCATTGGGGAGCCCTGGCACACATCATGGTGATACTGTCAGAGAAAAATTACACGGAGACACAACGGTACAACACTCAAGAGATGCAGGAGACACAGATTGGATGCTGCTGCCGGCAAGGCGGAGCTTATACTGTTATACTGCAACCTTTTGGGCCAGTCACCACAGTATAGTACATACATAAACCAGTACTACAAGAGTCCATTATTACTATCAAGCCATTACGTACTTTAGGTTATGTATGTGCTCTACCATTATATCGGGAGAAAGATGAGGCTTTCGACTCCCATGAAGAGCACAGGCTCAGAAACCCACGGGGCAGTCCGTGGCTCTATTGGGCTGCTCCCGGTGAGAATGTACTCCATGGCAATGGATGAGTGAGTGCCACTACGGTCTACGCCTGTGCAGGCCGAGCTGCGTGTTTCCTGTACGTGTGGCTCAGGGCTGCACTTTAAAGATAGCAGCACATTATACTTTGCCTTACGTGCCTTCTTACAAGACGACAATGTTGATCATTCCTTCAGCAATTAACATTTTTCCAATTATGATGAAAACTACAAACTACCAAGAAGCTCAAAAAATACCCCAAGTAAAGGAAAAATCACTACAAGCACATCATAGTCAAATTGCTGAAAAACAGAGAAAAGAGACCATCTTAAGCAGTCATGTGGGAAAAGATAGCATCATATACAGGGAAACAAAGATAAGAATGACTAATATTCAAGATACCTGAACGGTAAAAGCTAATATAAGTAATAACAATGTGTGGTATGTAGGTGGGCCCTGGTGGTGGAAAGGTTACTCGGTGGGCTGCGATCTGCATGGTCGGCAGTTTGAAAGCCCAGCAGCTCCTCAGGAAGAGACTGAGCTGTCTACTCTCATAAACAGTTACGGTCTCGGAAGCCCACGGCGTTGACTCGGTGGCAACAAGTTGTTGTTGTTGTGTGATGTTATAGTACATGCATGTACATGTCAACCGTTAGAGAAAACGAGCACAAGGGATGGAAAAGAAGGGAAATGATGGCATGGTGGGGTATTGCTTTTCTGCTCCAGATGGAACCCCAAACCTAATCACTGCCATCAAGTCAGCTCTCACTCACTGCTAGTGTTGGTGTTGGTGTTAGATGCTGCGGAGTCAGTTCTGACGCACAGAGACCCAACACTGCCCCTCCTGTGTCATCCTCAACATCAGCAGGATACAGCACACCTTTGCAGACATTGCATCAATCCATGCCCTTGAGGGTCTTCCTCTCAGCATGAGCACAATGAAGTTTTCCGCAATCCCCAATCTTCTTAATGCTATCAACAGTTTGTTATGATCCATATAGTCAAATACCTTTGCATCGTCAACAAAACACAAGTAAATATGTCTCATGTTCCCTGCTCTCAGCCAAGACCCATCTAACATCAGCAATGATAGCTCGCCCACCACATCTGCTTCTGAAGGCCATTTTCATTTCTGGAAGGCAGCTATACCACCACTATACCACGCCTTGTCAATGTCCTGCGGCAGCCTTTTAAAATGTACCAACCATGAAGTCCTTTTTCAGAAACTGGTTCCTTCTGATCACATGTCTAAAGCATGTGAGTGGATTCGTGATTCTAAGGCGCGTTCCGGCTGTACTTCTTTCGAGACTACAGATTAGTTCTCCTAGCAGGCCATGGTACGTCCGGTATTCTTTGCCAACACCGCTGTTCAAATGCACCACGCCTTTGGTCTTTCTTATTCACTGTACAACTTTCACATGCAACTGAGGCAAGTGAAGACACCATGGCTTGGATCAGTGCACCGTAACCCTCAAAATGGCTTTCTTGCTCTTTACTTTAAAGAGGTCTTGTGAAGCAGATCTGCCCAGTGCAATCAATGCGCTGTTTGATTTCCTGAGTGCAGCTTTCATGAGCATTGATTGTGAATCCAAGCAAAAGGAAATCCTTGACAATTTTAATCTTTTCCCCATTTATCATGATGTGTCAATGCGTCTAGTTCTGAGGAGTCTGGGTTTTCTTTATATGAGTTGTAATCCACACTGAAGGCACAGTCTTTGATCTTCCTTCATCAAGTACTTCCCGCCCTCCTAGCTTTCAGTACGAAAAGTTGTGTCGTCTGCATATCGAAGGTTGCTAATAAGCCTTCCTTCAAGCCTGATGTCCTGTTCTTCACACAGGACAGCCTCTCGGATTATGTGCTCGCATACAGACTGGATAAGTATGGTGAAAGTATACATGCCTAGATATGCACACCTGTCCTGATGTTAAGCTCCGTATTCCCTTGATGCATACACAAATTCATCATGAGCACAATAAACTTTTCTGTAATTCCCATTCTTTTTAATGCTATCAACAGTCTGTTATCATCCATATAGTCAAAAACCTTTGCATAGTCAACAAAAGTAAGTACGTTTCTCATATTCTCTGCTCTCAGCCAAGACCCATCTAACATCAGCCATGATAGCTCGCCCACCACATCTGCTTCTGAAGTCCATTTTCATTTCTGGAAGGCAGCTATACCACCACTATACCACGCCTTGTCAATGTCCTGCGGCAGCCTTTTAAAATTATGATCAGCAAAATTTTACTTCTATGTGATATGATATTGTTCAATAATATTCACATACTGTAATCTTTCTGTGGAATGAGCACAACTAAGGATCCCTTCCATTCCGTTGGTCAGAGAGCTGTCTTTCTTGACACAGATGAGTGCGTGCTCCAGTGCTTCATCGGCTTCTTGAAACATTTCCGTTGATACTCCATCAACCCCTCCAGTCTTGGTTTTTGCTAATGCCTTCAATGCAACTTAGACTGCTTCAGTTAGTACCACTTGCCCTTGAAATAGTTAAATGACTACCAATTCTTTTTGGTAAAATGACTGTGTGTATTCCTTCCATTTCCTTTTGATGCTTCCTGAATCATTCAACACCCCCCCCCACCCCCAATAGAATCTTTTAATATTGCAATTCAAGGCTTGAATTTCTCTTCGGTTCTTTCAACTCAGATATGCTGAATGTGCTCTTCCTTTTTAACTCTTGCATAGGGCATGATAACGCCTTACTTTTAATTTTTGAGCTGTCTCTTAAATTTTTCTGTTCAGCCCTTTTACGTCTTCCATTTCCATGAACTACTCTGCATTCAAGACCAAAGTTGC